TTTATCACTGTCCACTTTAAATGCCAGACACATTCCTTTATCTTCCCTAATAAAAATTTATAGGAGGCAGTGTATGTGTATGTACACATGCAAATGTACTTTAAATCAAAACCAAACACTGCAGTGCAAACATTCCTACCACAGCTAAAGGATGAGAGAGAGCTGATGCAAATATGAATTACATCATCTAATATTCTACTGGAAACCATGAAAAGACTGAAGCATGAGCTCAGTTTGAAAATCACCACAGAATAAAAAGCATCGCCATGGAATAGAAGAAAACATACAAGAGGAATGCACATGTTCAACAGAATATAAGCAATTCTGGTTACTTCTATGCTGCAACATAAAATAAGCCAGGGAGCAAGTTTAGACTACTTAGGACTTTTGATCACCCTTGCTACTCAAATGCTGACACCCTGTCTGGCACAGCTTTGGCCCAGGGCAGCTATCAGCTTTGAGCAGTGCACAGGCATAGTCTGGGGGATAGCACGTGCCATGCTCAGCACAGTCAAGAACATTCAGCTCCATCCACTCAGGCCAGTACTTCCCCAGCAGGGCTTGTACTCTCTAAGTCCTATATGCCTTCATTTCGCACCCAAAGAATGCAAAAAATGCCCTCCGTTTCAGCCTATAAAATTTTCACCCAGTACTTCAGTGGGCTACAAGGTTGCTCTCACCTTAGTTCAAACACCCTGGACCTAGAGAACCCTCAAGATCATAATCTCCACACGGAGCAGAGGACATGGCAAGGAGATCTACGGCCACGCTTTCTGCAGAGCGGACACATGGGCCACACTGCTTGGTCCCTATACACTTAGCCCCACACATTTAGCCTCTGTTTACTGCTTCTACATCCTCTTTTTGCCCATATCTGCTGCAGATGTTAGTTCTAATGTAATCGTTTATTTTAAATACGTAAGGAAATACATGAAGGAGAGATCCCTAATTCAATATACATCCTTGCATGGCCTGACATGAGAAGAAAGATGATCTATATTTCAGACATCTCATTCCCCATCATTTTTTTTCAAGCTGAGAGAAGATGTGCCCCTCAACTGTCCCCGAAATCCAATAAATGTAAGCTCTTTCACTTGTAGATTTAGAACTGAACATCCTTAACTAATAACATCCTTCCAAACCAGCAAGAAAATCTAAGAGCTTCTATAAATAATGGAGAAAACACCTGATTTAAGGAGCTATGATGTAACATAGGATATATAGCTCTTGAGATATACAGCAGAAATATATCTGAAAATAGCCAACTTGCCAGTGCGGCTGCCAGGAACAATGTATAATATCCTTCCTTGTGCTGTCACTGGCTAGCAGAACAGGCTCATCTACATCAACTGCTTCAGGGTGTTCCTCTAAAAGTAATGCAAACTAGAGTAATTGAGGCAACCTCCTCTAGAAATAACAAAAGCGTAGGTTCTGTGCTAAAGAATGAGGAGTAAATGAAAAGATCACAGAGGATGATAAATCAAGTTCATGGGACTGAGAACTTGGGGCCACAGATGATTAAATACATTAATCATAAAATTGGAGGAAAATATTAAGTAAGTGGCCTATACTTAGACCTAGGAATCCTTTGTTCATCTGACTCAGAGCTAGACTCATTAGGCTCTTGACTGGACAATGCTATCAACAGAGTTTACACATTGCTGGTAATAGCAAGAGTGCTGCTATTCCCTCTCCTAGATTGTAATATTTTAATTTTTTGTTTGTTTTTAAAGATAGTAATATACTGGCATTGCACTGGTTATTGCTCATACTAGCTTACTGTAACATTTCACCCTAGGGAATTCTCAAATGGCTACCCAAGAGCACACAGCACATGTGGATGAAAGCACCTGTTCAAAAATATTACTGAAGAAGAAAAAAGATATACACTAGTGGTTGCATGAGCTGTAATGCCTCCATTTTAGAAAAATGGGTTAAGCTCTTTCTTCAGACTTTTAAACCTCATATACTTATCCCTGGAAAGTTACTGGCTTTTCTGAGATAGCAATTCTTTCCCTTCCCTCCTCTTGAAGATGCTCCACTGCTGAAGCAAATTTAAGATTCCGATAACCAGGCTCAAGAAAAAAGAAAGAATCTAAGATTGTGATTTTACAAGCTAAATTATTCTTCAAGCCTACTTAGTGGTCTAGGCCACAGGCTGTAATGGTGCTAAGCCTGAGATAGTTCAAATAGGCAGAATGCTACTCTTGGGTACCACTTACTCTTTGGAGATGATCAGAGAAATGGTCTCTTTCGACAGATCCAATTTTACTCTGTTGAGCAAAGATGGTATTAAATGACTGAAGGACAGTGTAGAGTAACTACCATGCAGTCAAGTTAAAAGTTTTAGGGAAGCTGACTGGTCCTTGCCCGAGACTAAACTCACCTTATAAATCCAGCTGAGATGAATTTATTAGAAAGAGCTGCAGAAACTGTATTCAGCTTGAAGTTCCAAACTTCTTCTGGGACATAAAAAACATGAAGTTCCACCACCTAAATCAAGTAAGAAGAGATTATCCTAATTATAGATATATTCTTAAATCCTCCTCTTCTGTGGGTAATTTTTTTTCCTGAATTGGACTTTCAATTTCTGAAGGCAGGAATTCTTTCTTTCCTGTTAGCACATGGACTTGAAAATGATGTCCTAGATGACAATGATGACCAAAACCAATTTCGATCGACTTTCAACTGACAATAAATTCAGTACTGAAATAATTCACATTAGAACAAGCTGAACAGTAAAAATGAGAAAAAGATAGCCTGTGCTTCTCTTTCATGTCACAGTGACAGCCACAGACAGAGCTTACCAAAACCAGCTAATCCTCTAGAGTGTGTCATGGATACTGAATACTTCAGCTAAAATCCCAACCCTGCTCAACTCGTAAAAGTGCAAAGTGCTAAAAGCCTGAAACCAATATAGTACAAAGCCCCACAAAGGGACCTTTCCAACAAGAAAAGAAAATGCAAAATATTTCTCACAATTATTAGCAATATTGGATGTATGTGCTCTTAGTAATGTCTGAGGCAAGAATAACTCAGCCTGCTCTGAGAAGGTCACTTAGATTGTGCCCAAACCTGCAAGAATCATCGGCTATTAATATCCGGGTCTTAATATTCTGGGAAAAACTAAATAGTATTAGCAAGGATGATAAATTTTTGAAAAGGTTTCCCTGTAACAAGAAGCTATATTAAATATTTCTGCAGTTGGTGAATTACTGTGTTGGAAAATACAAACAGGAAAAGAATGATTTTTATGTTTACTATGTTAAAAGATTTTTTTTTCTCTCAAGTCTTCCAGAAGTGCTGCAAGGTTGCTTATTTTGTGTTTTTTCATTTAAGAAACAAAAACTAAACTACCAAAACTATAAGAACGCTCACCTGTGATGTTGGAGGTCTCATTCCACTGAACATTTTGATCCCCCTATTCAGTCGCTGTGAAGGCCAGACGAACTTTTAATTTTCTTTTCGATCTAAGCATTCTTGAAGAACGAGTTCCATGATAAATCTGTTATGGGAGAAGTTATCCCATTAATTTCCTTTAACTTACTTGTTTCCTTTTCCACTTACGAGAATAAACAAAGGCGTTTCTGGGTCGAGAGGTTCTGGCTCGCTGCAGGCAGACAGGCTCACCACACCTGAGGGGCTGGGATCACCTAAGTAACTCGCCGAGTAACACGGTGCCTGGCACGCAGCGCCGCGGGACCTGCCCTGCAGTCTGTGCTTCTCTGAGAACACTTCAGCTGGGTGTAATTTTCTGTA